CAAGACTGCAGCAGCAAGAGACATCAGCCGATAGCATTACGTCTGTAGTCAGTGGCTCCACACATCTCCCTGTACAGTAAAGCCAAAATTGCCGAGCCCCAACTGAATGATCCGGTGAGACGAAAGTCGCTAAGATGTCGCAACCACATGCAGTGAACTAGGTTGCGCGATTTGTCCGGCATCAGCAACCCTCCTATCAACTGCAGTATGCATGCTCGTGCATACATCTTAACCTCATCCTCAGAGGCGTCTGCGCTCAACTCCCGAAAATTGGCATCTAACCAATTTAACGGTATCCTACCTCCGATAAAATTTTCTGGGACACGTCCTAGACTATCCCGACACAAAGTAGTCCAAGAACCGGAAGCTATCCCCGATATCACATCTCCATCCACTGGAAGCCCCAGGTGCATAGAAACATCCTCAAGCGTGATCGTGCACTCTCCGCACGGAAGATGGAATGTGTGGGTCTTCGGCCTCCACCGCTCTACTAAGGCAGAAATCAGGTCTGACTCTATCTTACAGTGACCCTGATATCTACCTATGTAACTGAATCCAACCTCTACTAAATACGGCAAGACACGGCTGGGTATCACTAACTTAAGATTCCTAATAAAAGGATCTAATACATTGTCCTTCTCCTAAAAATAAATAATTACAAAAATTAATTCTTACTCTAATAATCATGCATTAAATAAATCAACTAATTATTACTAATAATTTAAATTAAATTAAAACATTAAAATGTTACCGTATCAGCAAATTGTCGAGATATTTAATTCTTAATCTAATAATCATGCATTAAATAAATCAACTAATTATTAGTAATAATTTAAATTAAATTAAAACGTTAAAATGTTATCGTATTAGTAAAGTGTCGAGATATTTAATTCTTAATCTAATAATCATGCATTAAATAAATCAAATAAATATTACTAATAATTTAAATTAAATTAAAACGTTAAAATGTTATCGTATCAGCAAAGTGTAGAGATATATGATTTCCATCCGAGCGAAGTAGACTGCCTTCCATTATATATCTGCAAAAGAATTATATTAGTAAAATTTTAAATAAAGTAAATACATAATAGTAAAAATATTATAAAATATACCTTAAAAAGATAGAATATTTGAGAGAAATTTAGAGAATTTGAGAGAATTTGGTGTGATAAAAGTAATTGAGGATAGGGGTATTTATAAGGAGGATGGGGACGTGAAGGGTTGGGTATTTAGGGGTATAGCGCGCCACCTGCACTGCGCTATACCCCACGTGTCAGATACCCAGGTATAGCGCGGATCAGGGGGCGCGCTATACCCACGTGGCGTCAGATCACCGTATATTGCGGGGCAGGGGGCGCGCTATACCACGTGGTGCCAAATCAGCGTATAGCGCTGTTCAGGGGGCGCGCTTTACTGCTACGGGTGTTAGATCAGGAAATATAATCTGACCGGTGTTAGATCGGTAAATATACCGATCACCGGTGATTTATTGGGAAAATTACCATATTTATGATTACTTTTGTCTTTTTGACATTTTTTTTTATTTTTTATTTTTTTAAGGTTAGTTTTTTCGTTTATTTTCTCATGATTGAATTTGGTATCGGCTCGACTGATCAATATGGTGTTTATTTGTTACCCTATTGATATTATTTGATTTGGACCCTCTAATTAGATTAGGATGTGTTATTTGCGTTTGTAAATAGTATTCTCACGACGTTCAACTCTGATTTATTGTTGTCAGTGATCTTCAGTAGTTTAATCCTATGTCGTGGTTCATTTTACCAATACATTCAGATTTATCCGTATCTATCTTATGATCGAGTTTTTTGTTGTTGGATTCTTAACCTTTTTATTGTTTTGTCCTTGTATGATGTCAAGTGGTTATAAAAAAATGTTTTAATTATGTATTCAATTAACATTTATGGTTATAAACTTTTATTATAATTTTAAATATTTTTTAATAAAATTAACTGTTTTATAAAAAATATTTATAAATATAATAATTATATATTTATGATTTATAAAACAAATTACTTAAACCCAAACCCATGTATAAAACTTTAACCCATTACAAAAACCATTAACTTAAGCCTAAATCCATCTAAAGGACTAAAAAATCATTCAATCATATAAAACCCTAATGAATTCTGTACGCCGTCTTATTTTAAATTAACTCTACCACGTGTCACATTTATATATTATTTATATATTTTAAATCATAATGACGGTTCATGATTTTGATTTTAAATACAAACCTTCTTATTTTTAAATTACTCTATCACAGGTAATTGTCCTCTAAGATTTGACATAAAATATGTGTATTTCTTACTACTTGAAGTGTTTGCTTTATGAAATGTAAGATTATAGGTGGAAATAGGATTATCGGTTGAAATAAGATTACTAAGAATATTATATTTTATGTTTGGGTTGTTTAGCATAAATGTAAGATTACAATATTTGGTTAAAGGAATAAAAAATTATTAAAATGTATATTTTACCAAATTGTCCTTATTATATATTTATTTTTTTAACAATTTGAATTCTATTATAATTTTACTATAATTAATTTATATATTTTCTTTAAAAATTTAAATTCATAAAATTTATATAATTTTTTTTACAAAATTGAAAAGATAAATAGGTTTAATGAAAGGGTAAAATAGTTTAAGGATAAATTTGTAATTTAACATTCATAGAATTTTTATTATTCAACGACAGAAGAATAATGTTTTTGGGAAAAAAAATTAAGGGCATTTTAGTTCAAAACACTGGTAATCCAATAATACTTAAGGGAATGGGGTAATCACATTCCTTGTAATATAACAAAAAAATCCACTGTTAGTAAAAAAATATTACCGGGGGCTGGGAATGTTGGTCAACCAAACTGGGGAATAAGGATTTCATTCCCTTGTAATAAGATATATCTTGAACCAAACAGCCCCTTAGGGTGCGTTTGGTTCACGCAATGTAAGATTACCAGTGGGAATAAAAGATTACCAGGGAATAGGATTACTGGGAATGTTGTATTTTGTGTTTGGTTGGTTTAGCAGGAATGTAAGATTACCGTGTTTGGTTAAATGAATAAAAGATTATTAGAATGTATATTTGACCAAATTATCCTTATTATATATTTGTATAATATTACAAATTGTAAAATATTTATATATTTTCTTTAAAGGTACTTTTACTTCATGTAATTGCATATGCCTCTGTAAACAGAAAACAACATTTTATTTAGTGTTGGCTACAATCGGTGCATGTTAAGAGAGTGTTAAGAAAAACACCATATTATATACATGTCACTTCCACAACCTTTTAGTTAGTAATGCAATAAACAATGTTTATATTTACTTCCCAAAGTTCTCTTTTCATAGAATACAGAGTCGAGAATGCAGACATGATAAATTCAATGGAGGAAGTGTTCAAACTCTTCACTGCACCCAACAGTATGGACGAAGCAGTGGAGAAAATTATTTGAGAAGCTAACACCACGTCCCCAGTTGTATTATTTCAGATATGTGCCTCTATTATACCCTCAAAACTGCTAACAAGTTTCAGGTTCAATGGAACTTGTTGCTTCTGCTATCTTTGTGCGCACAACATCGTTTCTGAAATGTTTATAGAGTATATGTTTAGAATTTTTTTAATCTATTGACAACGCATCTCTACTCTACAGTTGTTCGACCTCCTCTAAAAGAACAATATTCTCTTTTATTGTTGAGACCATCAATAAGTTGAAAATACTTGATACTATGATGAATCATGGTAGGGTATTTTCGATCCCATGCATGAAGCTGACCGAGCATCATATGGGGTTGTCATAAATAGTTTCGAAGATGTCGAAGAGTATACGAAGATAACAAAAGCTTGGTGCATCGGTCCGATTTCTCTGAACCATAAAAGCTTCTTTTCAGGGTTGGAAGATATATCTATCTCAGTTTCTCATTCTGCATCGACAACTACAAGAGAAGATAATTGCAGAGATGAAGCAAAAGAAGGTGAGTTCCCAAACCAACTAAAGGACTATACTTTATTGATTGATTGAAAATGCCATTATTCATCGCATTTACTTTAAGGTCGGCCATCGCATCAACATTGTTTATTGGCATTTTCATTGAAATTGTCAGAAGAAAACAGCTCGTCCAACGTATTCAAAGGACAAACCACTGTCACCATGAATATTTAATTAGCGTCACGCATTAGAAGTGGTTGTTTCACACGTCTTTCATGGAAATACCATCGGTGTTTTCCATTAAATTGTTGGAATAACACATCCAAAGTCAACTATGAAAGCCAAACGCAAAGTCTCGGTCGATGGACGGCTAGAATCTGCCGAAAGCGGCACAACTCGTTCGATTCGTGCGTTGAACCTGCCAGTATAGGCCCCGATCGATCGACTACATAAGTTTTCAATTCTATTTTTTAATTAATCACTTGTATTTGATTAATTGATCGATTAATTAAAATTGAATTTTGCATAGGTCTATTATGAATGCGACTCTCTCAATTTAATTTGCTCTATCTGTACACGCTAAAATGTAAACACCATATGTTACTTAAAGGATCTAGTAAGTCATCTCATTAAACTAAACGGTTGTTCGTTTAATTTTCTTTTTATTAATTATACACGCATATTTGGTCTTCCAATGAATGATTCAACGTCCGCCGTCGGTGGCTGGACTTATGTGTCGACAGAGGAAATTAACGATCTATATAGGTAAAGATATTAGATATATACATAAAAATTAAAATAAAATAATTCAATATATACATATTTTTTAAGCTTTAAGTATAAAAAAATTGATATATATAATTTAAACTTAAGATCATGAGATGTATCGCGATGATTTTTTATCTCGTCCTTTAATTATTTAATGAAAATTAAAAGTTTAAACTTAAATAGTTTTATTATATTTTGTCTTGTTATCCTATCTTATTAAAATCGTTATATATATTTATTTTTGAATGATTATTCGGTGTGGGGTGACTATATATAAGAGTGTTACATTGGCGGGAAAAATAAACCTACATTGAAACTTCATTGAACGAATTAGTCTTTGAAGAAAAATGAAAATGCAGAGGACAGTTTTAACCAGGAGAAGCTTCAAGGTAGCAGCTGCTGCTAGGAAGAAATGCAGAGCATCGAGTAGAGGCAATCCGGATAAGGTAACGACGCTTAATGCAGTAATTACTCTAATAGTTGTATGTAGGAACGGACGATGGAATTTATGATTAAACTGTTGCGTAATTATGTTTAGAACCGTTAGATTCTTAGGATGAAACATTTATTTAGCAGAAAAAAAGATCGAGAAGTATAAGATCTCGGATCAGAAGGTTGAGAGCTGAGATGAATGAAATAGATGAAGAGCAAAGAAAGATAAAAGAAGGGCAAAGGCAAGTAAAAGAGAAATCGGTAGCCATTGAAATAGAATGTGAGGAACTTCGGAAAGAGGCTCTCTCATATCGCAACAAAGTGCAAGCACCCAAATGCGCCTTGCCTTGATGTTTCAAATATTGAAAGCAAGGGAAAACCAAGAGCTCGACAAGGCAGCCTTATTCACTCGTGCTCTTCGGTATGATTCTCTTCACGATTCCTTCTGAACATCTGTTTCAAAATTTTTGATGCCGTGTTCGTTTACATTTCTCTTTTCTTGCAGTGGGTTGATTGAGAGAGAAAATCAACTAAGGAAGCTTTAAGGATGTTTCTTCATATTTGATGTGAATGACTTTCATGAAGAAAATAAATAAATCTTAAACATTTGAATGGTGATTATTAATCCATAATGAATGACAAAGTAATGGATTGGATCATAATTTATTGTGTGTGGCTTAATATTGAAAATTAATAAATGGGAGTAAACTTCCATATTCAAGTTACATTTGTATTTTGCTTATAAATTCATAAAGGTGAAATCTGAAGTGTTCTTGCTCTTTGTTTTACTTTGCGAATGTTTAGATTGAGAATGTATTGCTATATATCATAATAGGATTATATTCTAAGATACTTAACATACATATATATATATATATTATTCATTCTGTACGTGTGAGGCATTTATAGTGATAAATGTCCAACTAACCTTATTGGTTGTTTCAAACTTTTATATAGCCATATAATATACAAATCATAGAACTCAATGGTTGCATACAAAACAAAGAATAATATTAACTTTTTTGTTTACTTTTTAAAATTAATATTAGTTGTTAATTTTATTAAATGAAGAGAAAATATTTTAAATTTATAAAAATATTTTTAAAAATAATAGTAAATTAATTATATAACTCGACATTACCATAACTGTCTATTCTTCGATGATTGCGAGTGCCTTCAGATATTCATGTAAAGAGTCTAAAGAATGGATAAATCAGTATGATAATTAAATAAATTTCATCTAGATTTTAGGGGCAATATGAAATCCAACCTTGATTAAAAAAGCACATGTTATAAGAGTAGATAAAATCATTCACCATTTTCTTACGAAAATAGATAGTTTAATAAAACAAAAATAATAATATAACTTGGATCAAAGAAGATGGAAGTGAAAAAAGTATATATATACACGTTAAGGTAGAATGATGGAGTGACATTAGTATTAATGATTTGTGATGAGTGAAGACTGAATTCAATTAAAATTTTATTTATGTAACTACACAAAATCAAAAATCAAATATCATATTATATATTTTACCAAAATTCATGTATAATTTTAATATTTATCCCATACGGCATATGATGTATATACACATGATGTGGGCTTATTTAGTTTGTTGGGCTTTGTTGATGCTTCAGGGTGATGGGCTAGACTAGAGATGTAAATAAACCGAATCGAACTCAAGTATTACTAAACTCAACTCGAAAAACTTTAAATATAAATTTAACACAACTCAAAAACTCCTAAAATTTCGACTCAAACTCAAACAAATATTAAAACCCAAACTCAAAGAAAATTCAAGAACTCGATTTTAAACTCGTTTCAAGCTCAAGGCCTAAGAAGCATTTGGAACTAATTTTCAACTAGCAATAGACACACCTCGGTTCGACCTTAGCTACGTTGCCCCCAACACAATGTATCCTTAAACGCGCGTATCCTCTCCTTTTATAATATCCCAAGCGCAAAACTGCCTTAAACCTACCGATGTGGGATACTGGATTGTGTTGCAGAGGGGACACGCCTTTCTGTAGTGAAGAGTGCAGGCAAGAACAAATAGACATGGATGAAGCCATGGAAAAGAATAGGAACCTCTGTTCATCAATGAGAGCTTTGAGAAAGAATGATCAAAGGAAGTCTGAAGATTACCCCTTCCGAACAGGCACTGTTGCAGCTGCCTGAAGGAAATAAAACAACATATATACCTGAATAAATGGAGATCCATCAAGAAGAACAGAAGGCTATCTTGAGGGGTTATTTTTTATCCCCTTTTTCTCCTTCAAGAAAACAATATATACTAAGACTTAAACTTTGAATGTTGTGCTAATGTGCCGGTCTTTATGAGAAACATGTTTTTTTTTTTCTTGACAAATACTGATGCATAAATGAAAAGAATGGTGTGAAGAGAAATGGTGAGAAGAGTGGTGTTTTAGGCTCTTCTTAGGTATATTTCTGTACTAATTTGTATGGTAATGTAAATGGAACTTAGTAAAGATGTTACACTTGTGTTGCTTAACATGCTCATTAAAAGAGTGAAAGGAAGACAAAATGCTTTTGTTTGTATTTTTCTGGTGCAATGCTTTTGCTTCTGAGTTGAGCAACCTGAGAATTCTTGTTTTCTTTTTGACCAAAATTGCATTAGAAATGTAAACCCAACTTTTTGACTATTTTGTTCAAAGAAGGAAGTTAGTTCGGATGGTACCGGAAAGAAATCTAAGTCAAATGACCATAATAACATCCAAACATGCAAGGGAAGGATTTAGACATGTCACGTCAAACAAAAGCTACTTAGGAAGCTTAAAGAGTAGCTCATTTAACATGAAGTCAGATTACACATCAAATACCAACCATATCATTACTGCATAATATGTGTTCTTGATGAATTGCCCTATTTCCATGTATCAAAGACTTATACATTTTTAGCTTTGTGTTGACGATTCAAAAATCACAAGATTCTATATCTGGAGCGGATCCGTTCAATTCGGAGCGAAGAAATTATAAGTACCACTCAAGAAGAGAGAAGTTAAAACAAACTTGTAATTCCCAACCCAAAAAGTGAACATATATATTAAGTTGACATCATGTAAATTAATACTGTCCAATAGTGTATTTTTAATATATTTTTAATAATGTAATTTTAAAAAATCTAAAATTATAATATAACATTTTTTTCGAGCTACTCACGAGCTTTTCGAGTCGAGTAGCTCGTTTCAGCTCGTTAAGAATTCGAGTCGAGCTCGAGCTCGAGTCGAGTCCATTCGATCCGAGTATTTATCGAGCCTTGATCAAGTCGATCTCGAGTAGCTCACGATCTGTCTCGGCTCATTTACAGCTCTAGGCTAGACAGAGAATTAGATCAAGGTAAGCCTTTCTGTTAGGGTCTTTTAACAGCACATTTTGCATACTTATTTGCTGAGATATGTAGTTCCTTTTCTTCATGCAATTGTGAGCGTCAATCAATATCCAGTTCAAGATGTAATAGAATGAATATGGGATCCGAACATTAGCCATATATCATGACTACAGAATTCAAAGCTTTAAACATGATATGACTAAGATGTATGATCATAGAATGACATTAATCATTTAAAATAAAACAATATGAATAAGTTGTATGATTGTCCAATCCCTCGAGGATTATGATGCTACATGCATGTGTTTCTCTATGCAAAGAATTGGCTTCAGATATATCCAAAACCAGACTATACAGACAAGACTGCCATAAAGTTGACAAAAATGTTCCAAATTTAATGAGAAAAGTTTCACATAATTATACTTCTTCAAGGATTAGCTCAGATTATGTCCCTATGATATCATGCTGGCAAAGGATTCATGTTGCATAGGTTAAACTATGCAGCAAACCATGTATTACTCGAGTAATAAAACATTTATGACATGCATCGAAGCCATAGAAGAGGCCAAATCTATGTCACCAAATAGTTTGCAACGGCTTTGGTTCAATGAGTTAAGGTATAAACTAAAGCTTCTAACAGAAGTGAAAATAAAGGGTAGCTTGAGTAATGATCTTAGCAGCTTCCCAACTTTCCGAAAGATAAAAGAACCAGCCACTGTAACCAACGCGTTATAAGCATCAACAACAAATCATGTCCTCCGTAACCAACCATGTAAACTTACTAGTGGAACAAAATTCTTCAATAAAACATAATCAAGGTGGAGGTTATGCAATTGTTGCAGATTGCTAAAGCAGAAATGGCAGACTATAAGAAAAATTACCAGAAATAAGGTTCAAAAGAACTGACGTAATTACAGAGTAAACAGAGATTCAACCAGGCATAACAGGGAAAGAAAGATTTACGGTAAACCGGTATGTTGTTCCTACTTATCCTTACTGATAACATAATGAATAACACACATCAAAGATTTCCACTTCTCACAGAAATACAAACCATACTCTACAAACTTTGAGGGCATTGAACATTAGAACAACGGCATTTGTACGATTTTTTTCCTCCTAAACTTCAACCATAGACATAGGGAGCATGTTGGAAAGGAATAACAGTAACGCTTATCCATCAATTATGCCTCGCCCAACTTATGTTTTGATGCAAACAACATTTAGATTCTACCCAAAAGCAAATTATGACACATTGACACTCAATTAAGTAAACAAAGCTAATATATAATTTCTACTTAAACCAATAGATTAAGATCATGTATAAATGCATAGACTTGTGTAAGAACTGAACTGAGCCAATATGTGCAAGCTCTCCTCCTCTAACTCAAGAATTAAAACGAAGCCTCCAGCATTCCTGCCTATGTACATACACCTTCTCCTTTAACAAAACCTTATACCGGCTATTTCCATATCCATTATACAAAATGCAATGTGCTGATACAGGTATATGTATTATAAAATTTCACCATATATATATAAAGTGTGAAGTAATTCAGGCTATGAACAGGTAGCCAAACTGTCTTGAGAAAGCAAATATCCTTCTCGATCCAACGTCTCCCTAACTGCGCGATAAAAAGCGACCCAAGAAGATGGATAGGTGTCCAGAGGACCCCATAGAAATGTTGGATTAGGACTAGCCGGGCAGGCAGCAACCAAATCCAACACTGAGGCAGCAGGCTTAAGCTGCTGTGGGAAATTAAATGCTAAATTATCAACCTTATGCTCATAGATTTTCCCATTTCGATCTAATTTGTACCTCGAAGTACCCTGAAACTGACCCTTGGCCTCCCATGGAACTCTAGGGACACCTCTCAAGTTCCATCTAATCAGTATGACATTCTCAGAAGGTTGCCAAATCCTAAAAATTTCAAGGGAAATCTCTCTGAACAATATTTTACCATGAAATCTCAATGCCCAGAAGATCAATTTATAGTTTTGAATACCAGAAAATGTATTCAAAGGGTCTAAAAAAGTAATATCATCCCTGACAAAAAAAAAAGAAACTTCAAAAATAAAATAAAGCCCAGATCACCAAAAGAACGAAAAAAAAAACACCTCAGAAGAAGAAATTACCTGTAAATGTCATAATTAAGATCTCTTGTGAAAAGCAAAGGCAAATCCTCACGAAGAGTCCGAACAGCAAGTCCAAGGTTCACATAAAACTCATCTCTTTGTGGCTGGGAGTGGTCGAGCTTGTCCTGATGAAGCGGGGGGGAGCTTACCTGGGAGCCTTTAAGTGTTGGGTATTGAACAGTTAGAGTTTCAGAGAAAAGCTTTGAACTTTGGGCAAAGAGGGGTTGTTTTTCTTTGGAGCAAGTTTTGGATTGAAGAAGAAGAAAGGAAGGAGAAAGATTTGGTAGCACAAAAGCCATTGGGGGAGGCCCTTTTGTATTCAAAAGCTTGTTTAGCTTTTCATGGGGAGGAGGAAGAAGAGGAGATGATATGTGTGTGTGACTGTGCGTGTTTCGCCTGATTTTCTGAAGTTTGGGAACAGAATAATAAAAAGTTTGTTTAGCTTTTCACGGGGAGGAGGAAGAAGCGGAGATGATGTGTGTGTGTGACTGTGCGTGTTTCGCCTGATTTTCTGAAGTTTGGGAACAGAATAATAAGTGGTTTTAAAGGTTGCCATGAAATGTGTTTTTCAAGTGTCGAACGTGGCGTGAACCAAATTTGAGGACTTTTCTTTGTTTGGTATTGAAAATTAAAACTTGGAACAATAGAAGATGCTTAAGGATCTTTACCCCAAATGTTTTGTAAGTTGGGTAAACTACCATATTGGTCACTTTTTTGTTTTGATTTTATTTAGTCAACATTTAAATTACAGTCATTTATATTATTTATTTTTTATAATTTAATCACTGAGTTGTTAAATTTTTGTTATTTTGATGAAATGAAATCTTTAAGAAATGGTTAATTTTCAATTTAACCTCTAAACTTTTGATAAAATATCAATTTAATTTTGAACTTTTATTTCATTCATTTATCACACTCTTCATAAAATCTAATAACTCTTTCAACTCGAATATTCGACTAAAGTAACCTTTTATTGCTTGTCGCTCACTACCATTATAGATCATCGTTGTTGACAATTGTCGGACCCAAAATTTTTAGTTCACCTTTTTTTATCTCTTAAACGTGAATTCAATATATGTTCCACTGAAAATATCTTAAACTCCACAAATCTAACCTATAGTCTTTCAATTGTCTCTTTATAATCTCCCTACATTTATTATTGAAATACATCAATTTCAGATTATGTTACTCCACTTCTCAAGATGCTTCACTTTACTATTATGATTGACCTTAAAGTTTAATTTTAAAATTTGATTGAATAGTTATTTTAACTTTTATTTTTGTTTGAAGTATTTTCACTATCAAAGTTTCATACAATTTGATACATAACATTTAATAAAATATACAATTCGATATATCTCAAGCCTACAAATATTTTTTAATAAAATATACAATTTGATACATAAACTTTAACTTTATGTAATTTTATACATTAAAAAATAATTTCATATATTGTGTGAGTAGTGATTTAAGTGTCGACATTTACCATAACGTTTGATTAAATAGTTATTTTGATCCATATCTTTTAAAATACTTTAGCCCTTATTGTTTCATTTTGAGTTAGAATGACGTATGATTAGAAGGAGATCATTAATTAACTAAAGATTAATGCTTATACTAACTTAAAATGTCTTACGTGTCCAAAGTATTTATATGACACATATTATGTGTATAAAATGATGAATGTTAAAAAAATAGCATTCTTATCATAAAGATATGTTACATCAGTTGTGCTTTTCAAAAAGTGTGTTTGACAGGATAGTGTTTAATTACGTGAAAGAAAATTCGATCAAAATACTCAATGTTTACAATGATTAGGGTCATAATGAAAGTAAAAAATGTAAATGTAAAAATTGTATAAATTTTGTTAAAAATTAAGAAACACATATGGTATTTGTTGAATACACGTATTTACAAACTAGACGACGATAATAATCTGTATGTTGACCTTATTTTCGATAACTCAATGAATAAGTCCAAAACAATATATCTAAACACTTGGAGAATTAATATCTAAACAACGTAAGATTTGAGAACTTCACTATCAAACTTTTTTTTAGCAATCAAACTTGTTAATTTTGAATTGTCCGTATAACATTTAAGTAAAGTTTTGAATATTTGGTTTCTAAAACACTCAAAATCCAAATATCTAAATTTTTATAAGACTAATTAAGTTTATAATTTATCTTTAACCGTTCCAAATCAACAAGTATGATAGTGAGGTTCTCATATATGAGATTGTTTTTTTTAATGTTTAAATAATATTATTTAAAACAAATATTCATTAAGTGATTGAAGAATATATATATATATATCATTTCTATCACCTAATTTATAGGGATAGACATGGATCGAGTAGGGTCGGGCTTCCGCTCAACCCGACCCGACCCAAAAATTATTCATCTTCCACCTGAATTCAACCTGACTCAAAAAATATAAACTCTTCACCTGATCCAAATCCGACACGAAATAATATTTTTATTAACAAAATATTATTTTTATTCAATAAAATTATAGATTTAATTGAAAAACATAATACAGAGGGGGTATTATTGCAATTATCTTTAAATATAAAGATAAAATTATATGTTTACTCTGATCAAGTATTTTTCACCCTAAACCCAAACCAGACCCGACCTAACCCGTACCCAATTTTTTTAAAAAAAATATGTCCCGATTGAATCGAAACCCATTAAATTCAAGTTTCATACCCATCCTACTAATTTATGCTCATCCAAACACATTTTTAACATATACAATTTGCCAATGCATAGAACTCCGCACAAGAAAATAAGCATCATTCTTTCGACATGCTTCAAATTTTAAATTTTAATTGAGGTCAAGTTAAATTTGACAATTTTAAAATTATGTGCTTTTAAGTAAGTCAAGTCAAGCTAGACGATAAAATTTTCAAGTTAAATGAAATTTAATACTAATCTAACTAGACTCGGTACCGGCCCTAAGGTTATTACATATTTAATAAATTAAAAATTAAATTAAACTGGGATTTCACAGAGATGAAGATGGATCGGAGTACTGGCTTAGAATCTCTAACGAATTAGAGAAAAACAAATCGCACAGAATGTTCAGCTTCGTTCATCTAGGGAAATAATCATCACTTCCATCTTCTTTCATCCCACTTTTAACTTTAAATATTTTTATCCAATAAATGCAAGCATTTGAATGCACAAATGCTTCAGAAAGAAAGAATATTAACCAAAACAATTGAATCAAAAATAAAATAAAATAAAGAAGGCTCAGATATATAATAATGTATGATTACATCAAAGAGACAAAAAGCTCTCATAGTTTGATGGTATATTTTTCAGTCATCACAGCCTTCAAATATCATATCAATAATACATAGATCCATGTTGGATCAAGAAAAAGAAAAGCAAATAGTGATACTCAGAAACTAAGCTTTGAATGAATGCATTAAAGAGAAATAAAGATCTCACGTGGTACGGATTAGCTTCTGAACATCAAAATCAACACAGAATCAGATTATATGTTCAAGAAAAGATAACAGAGAGAAAAGAGAAACCCTTGATTGTTCTTTTTTAATTTGAAAATATAAACAGGAGAGCAAAGGAGGGGCGGGCCAACTGAATCTTGTGAGGCAGAAAACTCAAAGGGATGCAAATTATAAATAGGGAAGGAAGAGAAGCCCTAATTACTTATTCTGAAAATTACGTCCTTGCCCATCATTGTTTATATATAAACAGTAGTAAATCCAGAAATTTAAAAATATGTTCCAAAATGAAATTTTAATATTCAATTTTTAAAATAATTAAGTATATAGATTTTTTATTTTTTTTCTCCTCCTATTAACGCATTAAATAAATTTTTATAATATTTTTAAAATAGTGGGATTCACTTCCTCTCTTAGGGGCTTAGTACATTCGTATCTGGGTACAAAATGAACAGATTGTTCAGTAAATTATTCGAGAACCGTTCGTATATCGTTCATTTGTTAAGCTAAATAAATAAGTATGAAAAAATGTTTATATTCGTTTAATAAATGACTGAGCATGAACATAGGTGTATTCGATTAATTTTTATTCACAAATAAACTAGTTTATTGACTCGTTCGTTTCTGTTCATGAACAAGCACATTTAATGACTTGTATATAAGCTCGTCTAGAACCTCATTAACTTTTTATTTTTTTTATATTTTAAATATTAGTGAATTTAGAGATTAAATTGAACACATGATGAAATTTAGAGTTTAAATTATAAAGTTTAAAGTGTTTAGGTACTAGTGGCGTAATTTTATTATTTTTAGCTTGTAAATGAACATATTTTCAAACATACGAACGAATACGAATATCTTCAAAAATAAATAAATGAACATGAATATGATATTAAAAATTTAAACGAGCATGAATACTTTTAAACATAAACAAACTTACACGAATATAAACTTATTCATTCAAATTCGGGTTTATACATTCAAATTCGGTTCATTTATATTTTTTAACCGTTAATGATATGTTTATATTTTGAAAAATCAATATTTTTATTATCAAGGACATAATTAAATAATGTGAATTGATTTCTATGTTTTCTTTATTTAGTCTCTAAATTTTATTTTGATCCAAATTATTCTTTGAATTCCATAATTGTTTAAGATGTTATCTCTAAATTTTATTTTTATCCACATTAATTCTGACTTAATAACTATTTTCATTTTAGTTTGATGATACAACACTCTAATACTGTGTTAAAAGTTGTTTTATCCATTCTTTTAATACATATTAGAAAAAAATATAGAATATTTAAGCTATTTAAATTCTGTAAATTTTAAATTTTAAATAATTATATTTAAATATACATAAATTTATGTTCCCCTAAATATTATAATGACAATCATATGAACTGAATTAAAATTTAATCGACACATTACAATTTAATAATATTAATTAAATTAAGTGATTACTAGTGTAATTTACCCATTTTAAAATGTACATAAATTATATCCTAAGCATATTAATAAAATATACGAAAAGCATGTCACAATTACGTTGTAGCCTGACAAAACAAAATAAAAAATTACATTATTGTTCAATCAAACCAATTACAATTTACAATCTTGAGGTTTCTTATAAAATATTATGTAAAAGGGGGAAAATTAGTTTAGATAAAAGCAAATTACCAATCTTGGAAACCACCGTCCACGGCGAGGTCATGGCCAGTAATCAACTCCGAGTCAACACTTGCGAGAAACAGCACCGCATCGGCCACATTTCCAGCTCTCAACACGGCTCCTTTCAGAATTCTTCCTGCCTCGTAGATTTCCTCAACCTCCTCCACACTTTTCTCATGCGCCTGGCACGTCCTCGGCGTCGCCATCCCATTCGGCGACACGCAGTTCACCCTTATACCATGGACCCCAAGCTGCTTACTCACCGATCGAACTAACCCCAACAGCGCGTGCTTCGACATGACATAATCCGTCAGTTGCGGGGCTCCACGGCTGGCAGCCACACTCGCCGTGCACACTATGCTTCCTCTCACCCGGCTCCCCACCATTGCACGTGCCGCGTGCTTCACACATGCAATCGTACCGCGGAGGTTGACCCCCATCAGCCAATCAAACTGAGGGAAATCAAGGTAAAGAACGGTCTGATCGGATTTACTAAGAATCCCGGCATTGCTAAACATAATATTAAGCTGGCCGTAATTTTCGACGCTGGATTGGACCAATGCTTTCACTTGATCTTCGTCGGTAACGTTGCAGCGCATGTAAGTACAGATGTGAGAACCGATTGATGAGGCTACTTGTTGGCCTAGTTGGTCTTGGATATCGGCGATGATGATCATACGGGCACCGTGATCTGCGAACAGCCGTGCCGTGGCTTCGCCGATGCCGCTGCACCGCCGGTGACTATGGCTACTTTTAAGTTGAAATTTTAGATACTATCATATAAAATTTATTTTAATATTATATTTAAATTAAAGATAAATCTAAACTACCTTCTATAATTACCGATTTTTTCTTTAAAAATTAAAAAAATATAAAAAAATTATAAAAATAGTTGTATATTTTAATTACCGATAAATAAACAAAATTTAATAAAAAAATGGATCGAGAATAATATTGGTGGGGATGCACCAGCTATTACTTTAACTTATCCATCTATGAACCTTATGTCTCTATTAAACAAAGCTAGGAGTGGTCTCAATTCTGAAAAAGGTTAGGGTGACATATCCATAAACTATTCGGATAGTTAATTTGAGAGGACTACAAGGCAAAATTACCCTTAAACACACAATTAAGATAAGCATCGAATTTTTCAAAGAAAATATGTAAAACATATTTTTATATGTTAATATTAAAAATTATTACAAATTTATATAATTTAATAAGTCAAATTTGTAAATTATTTGTTAATTTATTGGTTGTATTATTTGTGAATTCTTTGAAAATTTATACATGCTAATTTAATAAAAATTAATTATTAAATATAATAAATCGGTGGAACTAAAAAGAGTGAAATTCATGCGTTGTTAATGATCTAAAGTAATGAAAAGTAGCATTTGAGACTCCAAGGAGAACAGATATATGAACATGCGAAATCAGACCAGCAATGCAAGAGCATCATGGATAAGGCCAAGAATTAGACCATGGTCTTATGCTCAGGCCTATGTGTAAACTCGAAATCGATATGCACAAAGGCTCGCTCGACTTCTGGTAGCCGCTCTAGCTTCTCCTGCAGTTTCTCGCCAATGTTGTGTGCTTTGTTCAGCAGCATGTCTTCCGGCAACACGATGTCGACCTCCACAAAGTAATGCGAACCGAACGTATATGCTCTAACCGTATCGATGTGCTGTATGTCTTCATGGTGGTTCCATATCAGATATGTCAATTTTGCTAGAAAATCAGGTGGAGCAGTTCTTCCAATTAGTGACCAGACATTCTCGATCACCGTCCTTGCCCAGGTACTCATCGTGTATATCGCTATCTGCAATTATCGAATTAAGAGATATAAATGACTACCTTGTTATTAGTAGCATGAATGTGATTGAGATTTGAGAAGCAACTTGAACTCACAATTATAGCTCCGGATGGATCAATCCACCATTTGAAATGGATAGCAAGAACAGCTGTAGCTAAACCAACTGAATTAGTAACAACATCAAAGAAATGATCCTGTGCGTAGGCTCTAACGATTTCATTTTTGAACTGCCGGCAATATACCGTCAGGGCGAACTTCACTACCGTCACGAAAACCATAATTCCAATCATCCATTTCTCTTGATTGTGATTGATCTCAGGATGGGACTGTATGTACATTAGAGCAACAAAATGAGTAAAAAGAGTAGTGGCCATACCAAAATGACTTGATGCTAACTAAGTTTTTAACTTAATCAAAGTGGCACACCTTGGCAATAAGTTCCCTGACAGACTCCAGCAATATTTGTAAACCTAGAGTTGCCATTACTGAAGCAAAAATAATGATACCCTGAAATTTTTAGATTTGTTAATACATTTATCATGATGAAACATAAGTTTATATCGGAGCGAAGAGCAGAGAAATAATTAACTTACAACGGGCTGCATTCGTCTCTTTCCGATCGGGTAGTGATATTGATTCGGGGTTTTCATGGCATGCGACGTGAACCAAAGAATAAATCCTGAGAGAAGATCCAAGAGTGAATCCAAAGTTGATGCAACAACTGCCAAAGATCTGCTTTCAATAGAGGCATAAACTTTGGCAGCAAAAAGAACCATGTTAGCAATGTTAGACAGATGAACTGCCATCCTCTCACTCCTTGCTAGTTGCTTCATTTCATCCTGAATACAAAATAGTATTAATACAGCATTTACAGTACTTTGATTTGCTTGTGGGGAAGAAACTTGCTGAGGATCTTCCATTCATGAGAAGTTTGTGAAGTATCTACCGCGTCAAATACCAACCCGCTGGGGGTTTGACCGACTGTCCAGCAGACGACACTTAACAAACTTGTCACGAAAGAGTCGAAAACTCCCTCAACAAAAACGGTGAACAAGAAACTACCTCGGTTAGGCTTCCAGGCAAAGAACCCATCTCATTCATGCTTTCCATCTCATTAAATCCAGCAAGGAGCCTTTCTTGCTTTTTGTAGTATTCTGAAACCTTCCTCTGTTTCTCTTAAGTCAAGAGGGAAAGAAAGAGAATCCAAAAACAACCATAACATCATCAGAGATTATACTTGACAAACTGACTAAATGATGAAACTATAACTTCTTATAAATACATAAACATTGTACATGGAAAACCATCATAACTAGTGGATCCTACATGCCCTTCAATTCTGGCCTAGGCCTCATCTCACAGTGGTCCCTTTGATGGCTGAATTATCAAGAAAAGGGCACCTAAAAATGATCTTTTGTATATGTTGTTTTTCTTTTTGGTACATTTTTGTATATGTTGTTGGGACAATGGAGAAACACTTCCAGCTTTTTAGCAGAGAGTATTATTCTATGCTTAGTTTAATAACCAACAATGGCCCCCTTAGCTTGAAACTTTTACAATATAGAGACAATTGCTATAGACAATATACCAGAATTAAAGTTGTGTAACTTGAAGTTTTCCCTTTAATTATGGGATTTCATTAGCAAAAATTACAAAGATAAGCATTAAACACAAGTGATTCCCGGAAAGCAAAACATAATTTCTCAGATATTTAGGCTTAAGATCATACTAGCAATCAAATCTGTGGAGGAGAGGAATATTGAACTTTTGTATTATACAAAACTTTTCCATTATTGATTCTCCTTTATGGTAAAGCACTTTTCACTTTTTCGGTAAATGAATTCATACATGAAAATCGTGACTCGACAGTCTTGACTCAGTCACTCATACAATGACCACCAACAATTAGAAACTGATAAAAAAAATTCTCAGCAATTGCATAAACCAGTTTTAGTTTACCGGGAAACTCCATAAAATCTCACGTGTTCGTAATTCATTTTTGGCCTAAACAATGTTGTTTTTCCACTCAAAAGAACCAAATTAAAGTTTCAACCATATTGAAAACACAGTCTTTATTATTATGATATAAAATTATAACATTAACATATCCTGCCGACAGAATAGAAATCTGACAAAGAGAAAGTAGAAATTGAAGAGAGGGGGAGAGAGAAATAAACTTACTATAAGTACAAAGGAGGCGAGAGAGAGAATCATCATCGGAGTTTAACCTTTGCTGGTGAAGGTGGAACTTGTCGAGGTTGAGACGCCAAGACGACGGCGGCGACGTTCCTTCTTGCTGAGGCAGAAGCTCCGTGTTATAATCGTCAACGTTGATGCCACTCTCGTTGTACTCCATTGTTGCCTTGCTTCTAATTTGCCAACTCAACACCTAAAACTTCTCATTCCTTTCCTCCATATATAATATATATAATCACGCAAACATACCGCCTATGTTTTCTTTTCCTATAAAAGTATATTTGTTTCGCTTTAAAATAAAAATATAAAATACTAAAAACATTATTATTATTTTAATATATATATATATATATATATATATATTATAAGGTATAAAATGATTATGATGTTACCTAATTATATTTAGATGTAAAATTTGTAAGTCTTTACTAATTCGATAAGAATATTTTATATAATTGTAGATAATATAAATATATGATAATGAATGCATGTTTAGTGTGCGTACATGTATGAGATAAAAATTAATGACATATATAGTGATGATTGATATGTATATAAAATTAAAATCATTTTAACTTTACTAATTCGACTATATGAATATATTTAATTTGTCTTTGTGCTTATATGTTACATGTATTCATTATATATAATATATGATAAGTTGATAGTGTTATTATATGGTGTTTGAGCTAAATAATATGCTTCAAATATTCTCGATGTGAAAGTATGCTTATGTGTTTATATAATACGATTAAACTTTGAATTATATACTAAAGTGATTATATATATATATATATTTGACATACTTATATTCTAAATGGATGAAATAAGATTAAATCATAAATATTAACAAAATATTTAAATATTTTAACTATAAGAACGATCGAATATATTTATATTATCTTATTACCTAAATGATATTAAATGCAAAAAAATGAGTGGCAATTCGGGGAATTCCTAGGGGACCATTTAGAAAGGTGTGGTAAGAAATTGCAAACTATTCCTCCCCTCTCCTTCTCCCTGCGGTCCATTCTTCCTCCTCTTATGTAGATATGCCTAATTAGAGTTTGCATTGCGGACCAAGGAATTAGGAAATTTCCTTACAACTCCTTCTACCCATTCTTTGTTTTCTTTTTACTTTCTTCATCATTATATAATTGGAGAGATTTTACATGTTACAATAAATATAATTGGATTATAAAATATAAGAATCAACGTAAAAAAATTATAGTTTTTATTAAGTTATATTAGTAATTTAAATATATAAAATTATAGGAAATGTAAAATTAAATCATCAATAAAAAAATAAAAAAATATATTTAAATTATGTTTAGAATTTTCAGAATTACGATCACCTCCAATATCTCTCGATTAGTCCATGATAAAATATATCACTTTTATAAGTTGGTTATAACTTTTTATAATTTAAATATATTTTATGTTATTTTACTATTTAGATTAATCTTTTAAAGTCAACGATTATCCTACTAATTTGATTAAATTTATTATAACATTAATAATACGCGAAATTATGATAATTGTGAATAAAATTACTTTTTCATACGTCAAAAATAATATTATAAAATCTAGAGGGGGAGTAAAAAGTACTCCAAAATATACAAAAAAGAAAGTCCAATAATAATAATAATATAAACCAGGACGAAGGAAGCTTCAAGAGATAACACCTAAACAAATACAAACATCCTCAAATACGTATCCACTTTAAGGATAAAGAAATCTTTAAAAATCGTGACTGCTGATACAGAATATATATATATATATATATATATATATATATATATATATATATATATATATATATATATATACTTGAATGCGTCTGTTCTTATAAATCATCAATTAAATAAATTAGGTTAAAATTGACTTAAATAGAAAAGAAATATAAATATAAATTATGTAAAGCGAGTGCATATCCATGAAATGGTTTTAGTGGGAATGTCGTCAAAGTAGCGAACGATTAAAAAAGGGTAAACTATGAGAATAATTCATTTTATTTTCGGTTCGACTGATTTTAGTTATTGATTTAAAAATTAAGTAGTTTTGTGTTCAATTTCAACCCTTCAGTCAAAAAATTTCACGTTACATGACTTCTTCTTATTGTTATTGTTATTATTTTTATTTTTCCGATACTTTGAAACTTCTTCTGCTCTTTTTGTACCCTTTTTCGTCTAGTGTTAACAGATATGTAGGGATATACCCTTTAGACTTTGCTTCAAAATCAACATGTAAATCAAATCGTAGTCTCCACTGGTAAATTTGCTCTCTTTTAGTTAGTGCAAAAACTTAGACTAACTAAAAAAATTCTATATCAGCTTCTGAATTTTTTTTTTACTATTTCAGCTCACAAACAATTCAAGAAAACTTAACTAAGGTGGAGCAGCTTTGCTCCCGTTTCTTCTGGAAAGGAGCTGATAAAAAGGCTGCTGGAGCTAGAGTTTGTTGGGCTCGTATCTACCTTCCAAAGTCTGAGGGACGACTTGGTCTGAAAAACTTAAAGGACTGGTGCAGGGTCTGTAATTTTAATCTTATCAGGAAGATTCTTGTTGGAAATGGCTCCCTCTGGGTAGCTTGGCTCAACAGCTATGTTCTTAAGAACCAAGACTTTTGGCTATTTCAAGCTGGAGTGAACGTAAGTTGGAGCATAAAACGGATTTTAAAACTGAGAACAGCAGCTTTCCCTATTCTCACTGCTGGTATACAACCCAAAGAAATCTGGGAAGTAAACCGAACGCATGAACAAAAGGTTCCTTGGCATCGTTTAGTCTGGTTTCCACTGCATATTCCCAAACATAGTCTGATAGCTTGGATGGTTCTTCTCAATCATCTTCCTACTAGAGATCGACTCCAACAAATGGGAATTTGTTCTGAAAGCATTTGTATCAACTGCAACCTCTTCCAAGAGTCTCGAGACCATCTTTTCTTCCACTACCCTCTAGCAGCTGAACTCTGGATTTTTGTTCTGCAGTTTACAGGTATGAACCCTTCTTTCATGTCTTGGGATGCCTATATAGATTCAGCTTGTTCTACTTGGAAAGTGAAATCTCTTATCACTATCATTTTGAAGCTTGCATGGTCTGCTTTCACTTTTTTTTGTAGCAAGAACGCAACAACAGAATTTTCCTAGGACGTCGGAGAAATGTTGAAGCCTTGCTCAAAGAAATCAAGAATGTTGTAGGCATTCGAATAAAGGGCAAATCCATTAACAGATTAAATAGTATTAACCTTACTCTTTGTAGTGCTTGGAATATAACCTAACCAATCTTTTGTTTGTTTTGTATGTTCATAGTTCTTTTGTTGTATCATTGGTTGATTGGTTGTAGCAAACTTTGCTATTTGGGTAATAAAATTTGAATTATCCAAAAAAAAAACAATTCAAGAAAACAAACTCCATGAACAACTTTGACATCCATATCAGCTTTTGAGGTTTTGCAAACCACGAAAAACATAGTCCAACCTCCACGTTTATGTTTATCACCCATAATCTAACGAGAGCTTTTGTGCGGATATCTTTGATAAAGTCCTATAAGAAAGTTTATGGTAAGTTAACCGGTAAGAACCCAAGTTGTGACTTGTGAGTGCAGTGAGATTACCTCCACTCTCCACTCTTATCCTGGGTATTGTCACCGCTGTACTTTTTCACCTTCATTATCTTTTTTTTTTTCATCATGAGAATCCATTTTGCCTCCATGCATGTTAACTCAACCATGATTCCAAAAGAAACTTAGATAAATGGAAGCAACCAATGCAGTGGGTTCTTTGAGTCCTTTATGTAGAGAACACCGGTTAAAAGTGCGAAGATTGCTAGTCCCAAAAGGAAATAAAGAAGCACAATCTCTAACAATAGTTGAACAAAAATTGGCCACAAGTATTTACTAATTACTAGTAAGGTGGGTATTTACTGGTAAGGTGTATAGAGTATAGAATAATGTAACAGTAGCTATTGAAGAACATGAATCGAGAGAAAAAGTAAAATGTTTTCAAAAAGCCTTTAGTTTGTTTTCTTAGGTTGTTAGCTTCGAGAGATATGTTTCATTTGTTGGATTGATAGTTTTTCAAATCACTTTTTCATACATGTTTAGTCTGATTTCAATGTTTCTAAGTATGGGTTTAGTTTCAGTTAGTATGGAGTTTTTGCAAAACCTCAAAAGCTGAGATAGATGTTAAAGTTTTTCAGCATATGGAGTTTGTTTTCTTGGGTTGTGAGCTGACATGGATGTCAAAGTTTTGAAGAAGAAGATGATTTCGGAATTTTGGATCTTTTTATTCTTACCTCACTTACTGTTAGTGATTTATGTGGATTTGTTTAGTATTTTTAAATTGTCGCCTAATATTTATGTTAATAGGTTAATGGAAGTTAACGGAGGAGGAACTTAAATCGAACAGATTGATAATGTAAGGAATCAATCGCTCTTAATTTTTAAACTAGTGACCAAAGTCTATCAAACCAGAAATAATGGATTAATGGAAGTTAACAGCTGAAGGATTTAAATCGAACGTACCGATAACGTAAGGGATCAAGCGCTCTTAAATTTTAAACCGATGACCAAAGTCTATTAGACCTAAACCGAACGGACCGATAACGTAAGTGATCATGCGCGCTTAATTTTTAAACCGATGACCAAAGTTTACCAGACCAAAAATAAAGGGGACTATTCACATAGTTTACATAAAAAAAAAAAGATGTGTACCTATGGTAAAGACATATACACGATTTTATGTTAAGAGATAAATTTTTATAATTATAAGAGGATGTAAATTTATAAAATTTTAGTAATAAAAATAAATTATAAATAGAAAATGTAAAAAAATCTAAATTGTATAATAATTTAAATTTTGTAGAGGATTACTGTCCTATCCCTATATCCTTATCAAGAGAAACAACACATAATTTTATATTAAAAAATAATTATATAAAATTTTCATAATAAAAAAAATTATTCATAAAAATATAAAAATATTTTTTAAAAAGAATAGTCCCAACTGCAACCGTGAATCTATCTATGCGTACCAAAATCACTATTTTTTTACTATCGAAATGCTTAATTAGTTAAAGTTGAACTAATGGTTTATTTATCTACGAGGAAGATAAGATCTCTTTTACAAAAAGCAAGAAGGATAATCAGCAATTTCTTTAAAAATAACATTACTTTTTTCTTATATACAAAACAGATACATTTATTTATTAT